ATCGCGCATAACAAACAATGTAGTGCATTTTGATTCGATTTMAATGCATGGTTTTTATTATGGGATACGTTATTTTCATCTCGAATAAAAATAATTGAAGATTTTTTTCCCGATCTTATTTTTACCTTTCAGATTCATTCAAATTGGGCTCCCTGGCTCCCTAATTTCGTATCGGGAGCTCCGCTTTTAGGCAGTGCCTAAATATATACATTATTCGACGCGTTATTCTTGTGTATGTGTTATTAGAACAAAATTCCATCTTGATTAGTTGAAGAATTAATAAAACTTTTATATCATTAAATACCACTTTGATAAATATTATTACTTAATATCAATGGTCTTCGGTAATTCTTTTATTATTCATGACAAGAAAGGAGAATATCAGTAATGGCAAAAATTTCGTGCTTTGATCTTAGCTAGTTTAGGTAATCGTATATGGGACAGAGTAAAATTAAAGATTAATTTCACGAGTGTTTTCAAAGTTTTGAAATTGCCCGAGTCGTGATGCTAAAGGTGCCGACCTACACACAACGAATAGAATAGAATACCTTTATTATTTATCCACGATAATGTTTAAAGTTTAAAGCTTGCAGTGGCGGATCTAGGGGTGGGTTTTGGGGGTTGCAACCCCCCTATGACAGCCATCGTGATTTATATTTATTATTATTATTATTATTATTATTATTATTTATTATTATCATCTTTTTCATGACAACACCAACAGCATCGCGAGTTTTATTAAAACAGGGGTGTCGAACACATTTCGCTCGCTTTTTTTCTGTACGCCGTGTGTGGTACCTGAAACAACCATGCTCGCCTGCAGCAAATAATCATTATCATAAGACCTACTTCCGTTTGGTAACCCTGTGCTACTTTCCCGCCAAACAAATACCTCAATCAATGCTACAACCCCCCTTTGAAAAACTCCTGGATTCGCCCCTGAGCTTGTGAGGTCGTGCAATCTTCATTGACAGAATTTATCTTTTGACACCTACTCGTAAAAAGTGTATAAAAAAATCTCAAAACTAAGGTAATTTTAGCTGATTAAATAAAATCGTCAATTATTTCTTGAGTTTTTAAATGGCTGAACTATTAAAAAACGTCTAGATTATCTTCATAAACTTTTCCTCTAAAGTACGAACGACTCCAAATCATAATATGGTCTTTGTTTTCTTCATAGAAATAGTCAAAGTCCAGTTATAATAATGGAGTTTTTCAACTGTTTTGTCCAAGTTTGCGTATTTTGTTGAATACTAAGACGGCTTTTTGGTTTATTTGTTTTTGGTTTATTAGCAAAATCTGTCCCTTCACCCAGAAACTAAATCCATTTTAATATTTGAAAGATTACTTGTATTGAAGAGATCTACTATAGAGACCGGTAGAGATCTGTACACTACGACAGTCAGGAGAAAATGATCCAATTCACCTTTTTTAGCTATCGTGCTTTGCGAGCCCGTGTCGCACACCACCTGGGTGAGAGGCGAGCGCTCTCAACGTTACGCCACCCGTGCTTCCCGAATTGAGTCATAGCATAGAGGGAACATAGTATAGCGAGCCCATTATTGCAAGTTATAAGTATAGAAATACACACTTAGAGTACGGAAATTTCACATGCGATCTTTCTTGCTCTGGACTCGGAATAGGCTTTCAAGGTTCCTAGAATTGTTTCATTATTCATCTACCTGACCAAATAAGAATTTCTGATTCGTCGTTGAAAGTATGAATTATTAATGAACCTGAGAAGATTTCAATGGCTAAGACAACGTCCACACTAATGCGCTTTCGAAACGAAAATGCATCGAAAGCTTCGCGTCTCCGTTTTCTCATATCTACATTTTCAAATGTCTCTACTCTGAAGAGTGTTTTCAAATGTATGCGTTTTCGTTGAAGGAGTTYTCAACACGGTTTAGTGCATGTAGATGCTAGGTCGATACGCAAGTTTGCATTTTCAAACAAAAACGGGTTAGTGAGGACTCGTGGTCTGATCGAGATAAAGAAGTATACTAATAAGGAATAACTTTATAAATAGAGTCAAGAAATAAAAAAACTTCATTAATTTTGTACCTAACTTATTTATCTTTTCAGTAAGTTGCAATGCTAGTTCTGCACTTGGAATGGAAGACGGTACAATTCCTGACCAACAGCTTACAGCCTCAACCACTTATGATGGCAGGTACCTTCCAGCCTATGGAAGACTTAACTTTAAGGCAAACGTTTCGTATAACAGTGGGTCATGGGCACCAAAGACTCTTGATTTCAATCAGTGGTTTCAAGTCGATCTTGGCAGCGTTGCTAAGGTAACAGGGGTGGCAACCCAAGGGAACCCAATATATGCAACATGGATAACAAGCTACGGCCTGCAGTATAGTGTAGATAACAGCCATTATGAAGACTACGAGAAAGGGAAGATCTTCTCAGGAAACAGCGACCAGAACACTGTTGTTAAGAACAATGTGAATCCTGCTATCATTGCGAGGTACATCAGGATACGACCAAAGACATGGTACCGCTATATCAGGACGAGGGTGGAGTTATATGGGTGTAAATAAGGTAAGGCAATGCCAACGGGGGTGGGAAAGGAAGACATAGGGGAAAAAAAGAAAATATCTATATATCTATATCAGCTGAATGAATCTCACCATCAGACTAYAATGACAGGCAAACACTGCCCGTGATATGTGCTATCAAACAGAGAGTATTCTATRTTGCTTTATATTAATCAACAAATTAATGTCACGGTTCTTATTACCAGGCTCCTACTGCAATGATTTAAATCGTCAGAAATTCAAAGGAATTGTAGAATACCCCCCCCCCCCCACATATTTGAAATTAATGTACACATAGTTTATGTTTCTTAAGAAGGCCTAATTTTCATTATTGTTATCCCTTATCTCCACAGATAATCTGATCTTCGATCGTTGCCTGTTCAATTTTTTGAAGACAAGAAGCGCACTTTCCATCCAACAGGCACTCGTAACCAATCAGCACTTGTTTATTGCACCTTGTAAGATAGAGCTTACAATTCCGAAGTGGGATAGCACAGGACAAACTGTAACCTACCAGACTCGCGAAAACCAACAAAAAAATCTCTTTAGACTAAACCAACTGAAAACTTAAAAAGAAAAAATTTTAGAGCTGATCGAACAGGAAATAATTACTTATAACAGAAGCCATTGTTGCTGCACCGCTTATCTTTATAGAAGGAACCACCGATAGAAAAAATACCAATAAACACCTTACACACATCAATCACTGATTTCTACAGCCGCCATGTTGAATTRTTTAACAAGAATKAAAATATTTGGCATAATGTTATATCACACAATATGRCCRCCATCTCTTYCGGTTATAAAAGCCATRAAATACWACTAATTATAATTYAAAYTATTCTTTYCGTCGTTTTGATTGGCTGAAASAACTGCAAACAGCTACCTACATATAAYACTCTGCTGCGAATAACACTCTGCTTATCCGMAGTAATGATGCATTTGTCMACATGGCTCGCTTCCCTTTGACTTGGTATGTTTAATAGACGGCAAAAACAGCAAAAACTCAAAAAGAAAACGATATGATGCGCTGTTTATATGAGGCTTTGTGAACATGGTTGCGAAGTMAGAGCTTTGGGTGCTTTTTCAAATTTGTTAAAATGTTGAAATTCGACTCATTGTCTTTATGTTAAATACTACATTATAAAATAAATATTGTTGAAATATCTATGAAATCTAAGACATCGAGGGTGTAAGAACATTATGACCTCTGGTTTGGACSTCTGGTACATTGCTGCCGCTTTGTACTCCCTTGAAAATTTGGTGAATAGCTAGGATAAGGAAAGCTTAACGAATGGCCCTTGCCTTTGGGTGAAAAGACCTAAATCGGAAACAAAGCCAATAGAAATTAAAGATCTCATATTAATAAGTCACATAGMAAAAGAAAACGTCAACATCCGTACGTCCAACACATTGATTCTGATGGAGAAACGAGAAAGATAGAGCTCCACGAGACGCAGCATCTCTGAAAAGTTTTACCTTCAAAGATGAGTCAGCTCAAGTCAACCAAACCTGCAATGCTGACTCTATGTCGAAAGCTCTACCTTGATGAGCCTCTACAATCAACTTAGGCCAGGAAATGGATACCAGTWATCGAATATTTTAAATTTACTAACATTTACAACTACAAGAATACGCCATTTTCTTCAACCATTTATCTCAATTTTAAACAGTTTGGGAATAATAGGTCAAGCTTGCATGTAAAACTTAAGCTTATGAGGAATATACCACAGGCAACCCAAAATAAGGAAATCGATCTTTTTACCGGTCACGCAAGGAGAGAGGGAGGGGAGGGTGAACGAAAGGATATAGATTTTTCAATTTTTTTTCAATTTTTTTTTTTTTTTTTAATCTGTTAGTTTATTTTCGGAGATACTAGTACAAAGGCTAATTCACAATCCGAAGTAAAATTAAATGTGTTTATGCTCATCGTGATCATGAAGAAAAGGTCTTTACTAGAGGTCRCTTCATCATTCACATCGATTCATATCAATTTTCCTCGTCTTGAATTAGYAAATGTCGAAAGAAGAAGAATATCTAATGCTAGAGTAGAATAAGAAGAAAAAGTACTCTTTAAATACGGTGGGAATCGAACCCTCGTCCACCAACTTTAATTAGATAATTAATTCCAAAATACAGAAGAAAAATAAAAGTAGTGCCTTCATGCCATACCCCTAGACTTCCGCTGGGTCATCGTATGGACTTCGGACATGACGGCGATTAAGTCCCTCTGCCCTTGGGTGCACGGATTACGCAGGATAGTGTTCTAGCCGAAGCATCAGGGGAGAGACTAGCCGGCCCCCAGACCATATCTACAGCTAATCCCTTGCACTCTGCCACGCACTGGCACGTTGATTTGAAGTGGAAAATAAGCTAGTCTATCTGGTGCATTGTTTTCACGGCTATTGTTGTGCTAATTTCCWGAAASCGTGGCCCAGTRGAARAAATGTGGGCTTCCAAAACACTGAGTCGAACACATTTGAGTGAGTTTAGTACTTGAATGKGTGACCTGAAACTTATAATTACCCAACTTTCCCAACTTTTTTTTCTTTTACTTTTTTTAAGACACTCCTATAGATAAAGAGCTTATAAACGTTTTATGCACTTTAAATCCGCCTTAGTGTGACCCATTGCTGTGTACCCACTGCAAATGCATTTTTGTTTTTGTTGCCAACGGTTTTAATGTGTTCGTTCTCTTTTATTTTATTTTTTTATTTTTTATTTGGTAGCGTCGTCGTCATTATTGTCATTACGTCATTTTTGAGTCTTCAAGGTATTTTCATCGTCAACTTAAGGCGGCTTCATATAGTTTTGGTCTTTATAGAACTAGATTATTATTCTTATAGCAAATACAGATCTATATCTTGATATATGATACGCTAACCAAAATTTTTAAAGACTATGACATTATTGTCAAAGTAGTGCAAGACTTTGACGATGTGATGACGCAATTTATCGTCAATAATGGGACAGACACCTAAAAACTGATGTCTATTTGTCAAATACATAATATCAAACTTAATTTGAATAAAGCTTGCATCTTTTTTTCATTTCAAATTAATACGTAGGAAGGCTATAAATATTTCTTATTAATGGAGYGTGAGGTCCGTACCGTAAATTATGGACCGAGCTTTTTGACTACCATATGGCCCAAGGGCGTAGCGCGCGGGCCATAAAAAAGTGGGGAAAGATGAGGACCCATAACTTAAATTATCATATTACCCGTATCTGCCCGGGCGCGCGCTCTTAGAAAGACCTTMGGGAAAATGGTGTGAGGAGGGCCGTACGGCTTTGAGCGASCAAGGCCGTACGAATCCTTACGGCCCTGCTCGAATTCGCGCGCTTTCTTTTTTTAAATTATTTTTCTTTTCGTGAGGGTCATATGATAAAATGCTTATTGACTGAGTTAGGTCGGGTCGTAAGGGAAAATATTTAGCTCTCSGTCATTTGCACGGACCTCGCTGCGCTCTGTCCGTACGGCATCACMTCGAGCCAAATATTTTCCCGTACGGCCCTCCCACTCAGTCAATAAGTATATATTACGGACCGAGCAAACGAGGTTAATAAAATATCTATTAGATGCCAAGGCATTGAGATTAAAAAGAGGCGAAGCAACAAGAAGAGTTGACGGCGCATGTCAAACGGAAAGTGGATTGGAAGGGCTACTAGTACGTGCCACAAGTCATGCATGTTTGAGTTGCTCAGAAAGAGAGGTTTTAGTTTATATGTGAATGAATTTAGCTATAGCTTCTGGACGGGCGAAAACCATCCGAAAACGTTTCGCGTAGAACCTAACTTTTAACTTTTTTTAACGGATTAAAAAAGTCCGTTATCAAAAATATCCAAATAAGTCCCGAGTTGATTAAGGGACCGAGAAAAAAATCTCATTATATTTGTTGATCAAATTTGTTGATCATTTTATTAAGTTAAATAATTCATCCAAAAGAAAATGAAAAATTCCTCACTCTCATTCTCATTCTCATTCTCATTCTCATAATCGTGGCCATCGACATTGTCATCGTCATCATCATTGTTGTTTCAATTCATGTTCGTCATTTTCAACTTGTTGTCAGTCACGGTTACCATGGCGACCGATAAGATGTTGATGGTCACGTGAACAGCTGATTATCAGTCGTGACAAGGCTTTCCTAAAGTCTCTCATTCTGAACACATAGATTATTGGATTGATTAGTGAGTTGAGATTTTGAATTAAAGTCGTTGTTTTAAAAATCCTGTACAAACTATCGTGATCATATCCAAACAAGGATATCCTGATCAAGATAGATAAATATGGCAGCCATGTTATTAAAGACAATACACAAACAATAAAGAGTGTCATGGCAAGATGTTGTTCACGTTTTTGTCTGATTTGTATGGCAGCTGTTTGTTGTCTATTTGGCTGATGTCGTTTCGCTTGAATCTTGACTTTGATAAAGATTGCTGAATATGATGCACAGATGATCAGCAGTGAGATTAGTAGTACAATAGTGGTGATGAGAATATCATCTTGGTCCTCATAGTAATGGATTAAAACGAACGGAGAGGGCAAGAGCCACGTGATGGTGAACACTCCAATATACATCCTGAGTCGTGTTGTACGATGTTGAAAGGGAAAGAAGGTTGCGTAGACTCGGTCAAGAGAAACAAGAACCAAGGAGAACAGAGAAGAAAAAATCAAAATTAAAAGTAGATAATACCCTACCCGAGCAAATTCATCAAATAGGGAATAAATAACGTCGTGTGTTATACTACAGACACCAAACAACATATCAGCCACAGCTAAGTTAATGAGGCAGTACACACTACGACGACGAAGATGTTTGTTGATGACAAACGTGACAATCGTAGCTAGATTCACAACTATGATCAGAAAATCAAGAAAAAGGACAAAAGCAGACCAGATGATGATCTCGGTGTTAGTGAGTGCAAAGGTGTCGATTGTAGCATTGACGGCCGTTGATGTGTTACTGATTTTTGTCATTCTTCTATAAACTCTATTCGTTGATTGGTTAATAGGTTAAATATTCATTGGATTCACTGCAAATCTGAAAAGAAGAGAAAACTTTGCTTAATGATCACCCTTTGTTTTCTTTGGTCTCGCCATCTCTATTCTATTTGCCCCTAGTGCTTGTGAATTGCAGTTCGAATGTTTGTGTGTATTAATACTTGTGTCCTGAAAGAATTATCACACTCTGAAATAAAACCTGTCGTATTGTCATCTTATAGTTTAATAATCTAGTACATAAATAAACAGCTGGTGTTAATGAATACTAGTAGTAGGGATCGGCGGGTTTTGGGACATTTTGTTTAGATCACGTGACTCATTGTCTGTCTGTCCATCTGTCTGTCTGTCCAAAAAAATTCACACTTTCAAACTCCCTAGATGTCCATCTGTCTGTCTGTCCATTACTTAGGTAAAATCCAAGATGGTGGACTATCCATTTCCTAGAACATGCCCTAACATTTTTGTATGAAAATCTTCTATTTCTTCCGTGAATATTGTAATGTTTTTATCTATATAGTCATTAATATTTTTTCTWTGTGGCTTCTTATATCACCACCTTTTGAATCGCGTTTAGTATAATTATGGAAATCCACTTCATATAATATATAGTCTATGAATTTTCTTTTCTCATTTCGAGATCTTCCTGAGTTGTGGTGGCGACCTAGAATATTTTTTTTTCTTTTTTCCTCATTCATTATTTT